GAATTATCGATTATTTTCTAATAATCCTTTTTTTAATATTTCCTTTAAAATTGATTATTCGATTATCAAAAATAATCGATTATTAAAAAGCTGATTAACCAATAAATCGATAATTTTAAAAAATATCTGTTATATAAAATAACCGATTATATTCAATCGAATAATGAAAAAACCGATTGAACGAAAATCGATTATTTTGAATAAATCTACTTTTTTTGTATTTCCTTTAAAATCGATTAATACATTATCTTAAAAAAACAAAAATAATTTATTAAAAACAGCGGATAAATCGATTTTCATAAAAAAATATCAGAATTATCGATAAATCGATTATTTTTGTAGCCCCTATCGGTCGTTTACTTTTATCCGAGCGTTTAGCTCAAAAATTTAGAGATTCGGATTTTTTGATCCCGTTATCTTTGAAACCGCATTCGATTGTATAATAAATAATAAATATTGCTAAATTTTTGATTTTTTTAGTAAACGAAAATTTTGTTCGAGTTGTTTAGGGGTTTGTAATGTAACATTTTATTAATGTGACCAACTCCCGTAACTTTAGTATTTTTTTTGCTTATACTAGATCATATGGTGCGTTTTACTTTGTTTTAAGACTGAAGATTCAAATGTCACTTTCGATTTGACCGCAAATAAGATGAACCTTGTAATTTTAAGTAGGTCATCCTGTATTTCATCTAATATTCTTATAAAAATACCTTATAAAAATAAAATTTAGCTAGCAACTATGATTCTTTACTTCTTATTTATCTACCAAAAAGGGCTTAAAATCACCTTTAGAAAACATTCTTATAAAACTACTTTTTAAATACAAAATTTCGTTAACAACAATGCCTATTTACTTTTTATTTAAATTAAATGTTCAAAATTTTATTTTTTTGTAGATTTATGTAAGTAATATGAAATCTGATTTCGTATGTTTAATATTTATTAAAACCCCTTAATGCGGATCTGAAGTATTCAGCCCAGAGAATCATGGCGCTTTATGTCAAAACGTTAATAAATATTTACCGCTGAAAACGAATATGTTCATAACATTAGTACTTATATTATAAGTACATACATTTTTTCAAGATACATCGTGGCATTTTGAACTTGAAATTGATTAACTAGAGCACTTTAAATTGCTAAAATACCAACAAATAAATCAAAAAACATCTGTCAATGGTGATTAAACTCAGGTGGAGGTGATCGATGAATGGAAAAATCGGAGCAATTCGGGTGGCGTCGTGCAAACAATGATTTTCAATTGGAGGGTTACTTTGGGTTGAAATAGACAACATGCGCAGTGTGCGATGTTACATCTTCGGTCTCTTTAATCTAAGGAATCGCCTTAAAAGTAAGCATAAATCAATAAACCACCTTAAACAAGCTACTATTGCGCAAGCACGATTACAAAATCTTGTAGGAAAATTAAATTCCCTGTCTCATGAGCATGGGAAATCATTTCCTATAACTGCTTAGGAAAATATTCCTACAACTTGACTCCAGAATACGTAACCTACTTTCCTATAGGAAAATCAACCAAATTCCTATAGGAAAAAAGTCGAGAATCGACCCCCGAGCGCGTTCAGGAAACACGCTCCGACCAAAAAGAGCGTGCTCAATTTGCTCTTGGTTCGTTCAGGAACAGTAGAGCGTTCAATTTGGACATTTAGCTACTCTCGTTCAGGGGACCTATTTTCAAAGTATGTGAGCACTCATTTCTCTCAAGATTCTCATCAGAAATGTCATACGTCAATGTGGAAACGCTGTATTTAAAAACATCGAGGATTAAAATTCTTAGGAGAATTTTAATTATCTCTAAATAAACCGAGAGAAACAGTCAGTGAGTTCACACTGGCCCTAAGAGCCCTAAAAATACGGTTTTACGTTGACGTATGACATTTCTCTTGATGGAAATGAATTCTCTCGAGTTTGAAAATAGCCCCCCAGAAAGTCGAGTCAAATTAGTCTAGAGAGAGTGCACTCTTTAGGTCTTTTCCTTTGCATCGACAGTGTAGCACTGAGCTACGTCACTTCTGAAAATATTGTTCCATCCATACAATTTGTATAAATGGAACAATATTTTCAGAAGTTGTGTAGCTCAGTGCTACACTTTCGATGCAAAGGAAAAGACCTTTTTATACCCAGTTTGGACTGGGTTAATTTGAGTAAATTTGACAGAACGTAAAGTTCTTTTGCAGAAGTTGTTGTTTCATATTATTTTTGTGTCATAAAGGAATTTTATAAGGTTAAATTTGTTTTAAAATAATTTTTTTTTTTAATTTTACAGAGCCAAATAGTATTTTAAATTTTATTGTATTTATTTTCATGTAACTAATGTTAGTGCTGGTTAAATAACTTGTATAAGTTGAGACCAATAAAGAAAAAAAAAAAATAAATAATCTAAAATTTCTTGTCTAAAGGCTGTATGTCACGATGCTAAATTTAGTACTAAATTTAGCACTAAATTAAGTTAGCACAGAACCCCAACAGAACTAAAATGTTTTGTGGAAATTAGACTAGGCGAGTTCGGATAGTCAGGGGCTGGAGCGGGACAAATTTTAGGCTGCTTTTAAATGACATTTAAGCGAGTTAAATTGTCACTAATCGTACTAAACCGAACGCTAAAAGGGTCGTTTGGAGTTAAAAGTGTTAAAGGAGTTAAAGGAACTTGGCAGACCGAACGCAATGACTGTTGACTTGACAGCGTTGAAGCCGTTAAACATTTGTGGCATTTGACAGATTCAAAATAGATTATTGTGATTTTATTAAGCTATTATTTATTTCGTATATTTTTTATTTATTTCGTGTACTGTTTTATTATTATTATTATTATTATTATTATTATTATTATTATTAAGTTGTTATTATTTAGTTGTACAAAATCACACGCAATGCCAAATGTCGCTAACGCTAACCAAAAACAAAATGGTACAGAGACAGTTCGACAGTTGTGTCAACTGTCAACTTTTTTATAAACCAAAGCTACTGCGCAACATTTCGACGCATTTTTAGTACTAAATTTAGTATAAAATAAAACAAATTAATTTATTTTTTTAGTGCTAAATTTAGTACTAAATTTGCTGTTTGCAACGTGAATTTTTTTTAGAACTTAAAAAATGCATTAATTTAGTACTAAATTTAGTACTAAATTTAGCATTGTGACATACAGCCTTTATTGACTTTATAGATCATTCATTATAATCTCTATTATAAATAGGGCTGTGAATAGGTATATATTGAAATAAAAAGAAAGAAAAACAGCTTAAAAAAATTAAATGAATAAAAAGTAAAACTATACGTGACACGAGTAACAATAACAACGGGAAGCGAGGAACATCAAACATATAAGGGAATAAAATGTCTATAAACAAATAACTGTAAAAAACTATAATTTTCAAATTCGTTGACGTTTACTCTCGTTGCCGTTCAGAAATTTTGGGCCAATGAGAATTACTCTAGAGTAGTCTGGGCAAACAATCTAAGAAAATTAGTCTACTCCCGTGTAAAGTCATCTGAACGCGCTCCAGCAGGGTTATTTTACTAAATTTATAGCCCGGCTACAAGTTGGATTTTGGCTTGAACTTTATATGTTCCTAACTTCAAAATCCAACTTGTAGCCGAGCTATAAACTTTTAGCCGGGCTATAAATTTAGTAGAATAACCCTGCAGGGGGTCGATTCTCGACTCGTAGGAATATTTTCCTATAGAAATTTTTGACAATTTTAATTACATCGACAATTTATGACATTTTCCTGGGGGTCAATTCTCGACTTGTAGGAACCTTTTCCTATAGGAATTTGTGACACTTTCCTATATGTAGGACAATGTCATAAATTTTCGATGTATATAAAAATGTCAAAAATTCCTATAGGAAAATATTCCTACGAGTCGAGAATCGACCCCCTGGTGTAGCACAAGCGGTTCAGAATTCGGAACTAATAACATTTTTACCGCGAACCAATCATTCAGTTCTTTTTGTTTCGCGAACGCATTTTTAAATACTGCGCATGCGAAATCGTTACTGTTAATTATTTGGTTCAGAATTCTTACCGCGAACGGAGCTAATTACTAGAGAAATCTAGTACGTTTTTCTGATACGTTTTTATTTTCCTTGACACTTGCAACACTGCGTTGAGTTCGAGGTTGAATACAGTGTTGCCAGTTAGTGTGAGAAGTCGCCAAAGTGACGACTTTGTGTCTATGAGTGTGACGGCACTAGTTTACTGGTGAAAAAATTTCTGTATTCGTAGAAGTACATCAATATTTTCATACACGTTTTATACAATACATAGAAAAAAATAACGTCACAATAATTATTATTATTATATATCTCATGGATACGCGGATGTAGAAATATAGTATTTTCAAATTTTAAAGGGTGAGATTACAGAACGTCTGCAACTTTGCAGATCTGCAAATATGGCTGAAGTTTTCCAAAAAAATATCTGCAAATTTCGCAATATTTATTGTGGTTTATTGCCCCCAACAATACTAAATCCAAATCCACCCTTAAGAAAGTTAGAACATCCTACAACCATGAAGTCTTCTGTTTCTTTTGATTGAATACAGTTCATGGTGTCAGATTATCGAGTTTTTAAACATAGTAATGGATTTGGGTTTAATGTGTTGTTGGGGGTAATAAACCACAATAAATATTGCGAATTTGCAGATCTTTTATGGAATAGGAAAACTTGATATTTGCATATGTAATTCGGCCATATTTGCAGATCTGCAAAGTTGCAGACGTTCTGTAATCTCACCCTTATATAAAAAAAAATAAAATAAGCATTGAATTATACGTGACATAATTGAGGGTTGTTGGAAATAAAGATTGTTGTTTAAGGTATGAAATTGGCGAGAAACATTTCTCAAAAAAGAATAATATTTATGAAAATACATCAAAAAACCAGGAAAAATTAAATCAGGTTTAGATTCAGACAGTGGCGACTTTTTACTTTGTTACTCTGACAACACTGCTTGTTATCATGATTTTTTGATGAAAGTGCGCTTGTGAAACCTAACCTGACCGCGGTACAAATACTACACTACAAAATAGATACAAATTTATATAAACAAAATAGATATTTTGTATTTGGGGTTATTGATTAGGTTTATTTACAATCTGCGCAGTAGTCATAATCTATGTCGTTCTGCACATAAATTCATACATTTTATCTGTGTTATCTCATCTCTGGTATTGTTCAAAACGTAGATATTAAAAATAGTTTATTTAGTAGGTATTTTTAACAGTCAAACACATTTATCATGGATATTAGTGGTAAGCCTTATTTCATAAATGTACCTGTATCCCTAATGTAACTTTCAAACAAACAAATTAACTTTAAAAGTACCTATATGATATATATATATATGAAAAACCTTATGATAAAATGTGATACAATTTGACTTATTGCCTATAATTTCTAATATTTTTCTATTTTCATATTCAAGATAAGCAAATTTCCAACAAAGTAAACTAATTACTATTTTACAAAAAAAAAATACAAAAAATGACTAATTATATATTTACAGTTTCAGGAATACCTATCCACAGTTTAGTTGAAAACTTTCAAACGATATAAAAATTAGAAAACTTTTTCACTTATTCTTATAAAATGATAACAAAAAAATCATACAGATTATTTACTGCCTATATAATGAGTAAGGCTTCTTTTGTATCTAGTTATAATAACTTCAATAAATTGTAATTTTTAGGTATGCGAACAAGTTACAATAATAAAAGCACAACTTTTCTCGAGAAAGATATTGAAATTAAGGATCCTATTCACATATTTGAAAAATGGTTCAATTTAGTCAAAAGTGATCCACGGACAGTGGAGGCAAACGCTATGTGTCTCTCCACTAGTACCAAGTAGGTAAATTATTTTTAATTAAATATATGTTGAGATATACTAGGTGTTTCAAAGAAACATGGCATAAATGATATAGTGGATAGAATTCACTTTTGAATGAACTTGATTGTCAGTAAAAAAAAAAATACTGCTTAAATAATTATTTTATTCAGAGGCGTGCATATACAATACTTATTATTTTGTATTAGACATAGCTGTGCTTTTGTAGTGAACATGTGGCAACTACGATATCGCTGCTCTTTAGCTTTGTGCCTCACATTCGGTTTGGCTAATGTCCCACCACCATATCTTCTAATTGTGGCCCTTTTGCCATTTTATATACTTGTATACTAGTGGCATGCCTAACACGAAAAAATAAGCACTGTATACTTATTGCGTACATCACATGTCTTTGCCAGTCATGCTCTACTTTAGAAATATTTTTTGTGATTCACTCTTTCTATTTTAAGGGCGGCGTCTGGACATATACGGAGAACTGTTTATCTGGAAAATTTCAGGTTTTTTTTTAATTAAAGGAAAATACCTCAAAATGTTTTTAAATTTGTAACTTTCCATATGTCATGTGATATATTCAAAATATAATTTGATTTTCTCTTATTAGTTCTAGGGGTTGTAAGGAAAATAAAACATGTGAATATGTTTAGTTTTAAAGAAAATTCCTAGGCAAGTCAAGATTCCAAGTTGTTTTAGAAACCAAAAGTCAGTCATTTTTTGAGTATTTTAAGAAGCATTTACAACCCCTATGCATACCTACTTCATTAACAGTTTTTAATATTAAAATTAATGCCAGGAAGTATATTTTTCTCGAAAGCTGCGTTTAAAGTAAACCGTGCATATTCCGCAAATTTGTATGGGCAAATACCAACCTTAAAGTAATAGATGATATAGGGGTCTATTCTGTAACAATTCCTTTATATTTAACGGCCTTTAAAAATATTTTCTTCTTTACTTCTGTCATTATTTAAAAGGATCTTTAAAATACATTAAAGAACTATCTTAAAGAAATCTGTTTAAGTAATGACAGAAGTAAATTAACGGATACCAAAATATTTTAAAGGCCGCCAATATTTTTAAAGGCCGTTAAATCTTTACTTCTGTCATTTAAACGGATCTTTAAAATACATTAGAGGACTATCTTAAAGAAATCTGTTTAAATAATGACAGAAGTAAATTAACGAATACGAATATATTTTTAAAGGCCGCCAATATTTTTAAAGGCCGTTAAATATAAAGGAATTGTTACAGAATATACCCCATTATCATTTCCTAGTTGTCAGTCAAGGAGCTGACTATTTTATTTTTAATAAAATATTTAGCAGGTATACCAGCTTCGATATTTTTAGTTGAAAATATATTCAGTTAAAAGTTTTTGTGTTGGTATCTGTAAGGCATGGAGGGTGGATTGCTCCAAAAGCTTAGGCCTCACTAAATTGATAGGTCCCTCATTTTAGCTCAACAGCCAGCCTACAGATTTAATGTAGTTAACAGTGTCGCCAAGAGGTGCCTCTCATATCGGCCGGTGTTACTCAAAATGAAAACAAGTCTACATTTATTAATGTTTTTATTTTTGAAAAGACAACAATTTTTTAAATAGATGTATCAAAACAATATAAAACAAGTCTACATTTATTAATGCTTTTATTTTTAAAAAGACAAGATTTTTTTTAAATAGATGGATTAAAAACAATATTTCTATTTAGGACTGGATTACCTTCAGCAAGGTTTGTTCTTCTCAAAGGGTATAGCAAAGATGGCTTCATTTTCTTTACTCATTATACCAGCAGAAAAGGTCAAGAATTAGTATGATAAATTAAAGTTTGAAGTATTTTTCGTATTTTCTATTTTTTGTTTTTAGGAAGAAAATCCAGTTGCTGCACTAACTTTTTATTGGGAACACTATAGTAGATGCGTAAGTATTTTGAAACGTTAGCAATTTTTCTCTTTAAACGAAGAGTTCAACGTAGAAACCAAATTACTTGACAGCTTCAAAAATTTCTAATTTTCCTTCAAACATCTGTTTATTTGAAATGCCTAGCACAGCTTTATAGCATTAAGGACCGATTCCACCGTTGTGTTAAACGAAGTTTAAAATTACATTTTTACACTAACAATTGTCATTTTAATCTCTGTTTAACACAATCCTGGAATTGGCCCTAAAGAAATGGGCTCATATTTTTTTAAATGGTTCTTATAAAATTGATCCAATTTTTATTGTATGCTGTAAATCCACTCATACTGCACATACATTATTTCAAAAAACTTTATGGCTAACGTCAAGTCACTAATCTTTTAATTAATCTCTTCATACAGAAAAAAAAACTTGAGTAAAATATTCAAAAAGTTTGATTGATCCTCAAAATTCATTTTATATTAATCTGGTTACAGCAATTTATTATTATTAAAAAAATATTCCTAATTTTTAGGGTTAGTAAAAGGAAATAGTTTTCAGCAAGTCAATGTGGTGGCCCAGCTTATCAGGTTCACTTCCATTTTGATGCTTTACATTTTTCTAGGTAAATCACATTTTTGTTCATATTCTATTTGGTCTTTTAGGTGAGGATTGAAGGAGCAGTTGAAAAACTACCATTTTCTAAAGCAGATGATTATTTCAGTAAACGACCATATCAAAGTCAAATTGGGGCATTGTGTAGTGACCAAAGTAAGGCAGTAAGTGGACGGGATATTTTAGAAAAAAAGGCAGAAGAACTAAAGACTCAGTACAAAGAAGGGGAAGTACCAAGACCATCTCAATGGTAAATAATAAGTCAGTTTGATACCTAGTTGAACAGATACATATTGACTGCATTAAAACCTTAGATAAAAGAGACCAGAGATATAACATACACTGGTGTTTAACCTGTGCAAATGTTGCCAATTTCTAAAGAAATGTTAACGGAGTGGGGGAACTGGGCAGGGACCCGAACTCTGTGACAGGGACCGGACTTTGTTTATTAGCATCGTAATGAATTATTAGATTTATTTAAAATATACGTTCAATGGAATTTTGTATTATGAAATAAATTTAACGTGATTTTTTAATATCAAACAGATGCCACGACATTTTATGTAAAGAGAAGACCTTTGTAGAATATTTCATTAGCTATTATTTACTATGGACTTTTCTGTAAGAGACTACAGTAAAATGTTGAAATAGAATATTGTTAATCGAGTAAAAAATGGCACTCATTGTCTAAGAGTATTATAAAAAAAGCATGTGCGCAGGCGAATACTGCAAATCAAACCTTGTAAGTTGAACATTATATTTTTTCTACGACTATCACATAATATTAAAAATTAGTCAAAATGAGAAAATGCTGTTTTGTATTATAACCTCAGAAAAAGATATTAAAGCTTGTTTCTTTAGGAATATTAATTAATATAAAGGATGATGAGTCACATAAAACTCTAGAAATGCATATGTCTGAAACCAGATAACATTTTAAAATTTAAATCTATTAAAAGTCATTTGGTCGCTAAGAGTGGGTGATTATCAAAATAAATTATTGATTATTAATAATAATCGATTATTTTCGATCAATCGATTATTTTCAAACAATCTATTTTTGTTCGCATTTCCTTTAAAATCGACTACTTGATTATCTTTGAAAAATCAAAAATAATATATTAATTAAAAAGCCAATCAACCGATAAATCAGTGTTTACAAAAAATAATAAACGAATTACCGTTTATTTTAAATAATCGATTATTTTTAAATAAAATTTTTTCGTATTTCCATTGAAACAGATTATTCGATAATCTTTGAAAAATCTAAAATAATCGATTAATCAAAATAATCGATTAATTAAAAGGTCGAATAATCGATTAATTAAAAGGTCGAATAATCGATAAATCGATTAAAAAAAAAAAGAATTATTTCCTTTAAAATCAATTATTCGATCATTTTTAAAACATCGAAAATAATCGCTTAATCGATTAAGGGAAAATAACCAATTAATTAAGAAGCCGATTCTACGATAAATCGATTTTCCAAAAAAATAACTGAATTATCGATTATTTTCAAATAATCCTTTTGTTTTCATATCTCATTTAAAATTGAATATTTAATTTTCTTTGAAAATAATCGATTAATAAAAAGCTGATTGACCGATAAATCGATAATTCTAAAAAATAACCGAAATATCGATTATATAATATAACCGATTATATTCGATCAATCGATTATTTTTATATAGGTAATCTATTTTTTTGTATTTTAAAACAACTTATTCGAATACCTTTGAATAATCGATTAATCGAAAATATTCGGTAATTCGAAAATAATCGATTAATTTAAAAAGTCGATTAAACAATAAATCGATTTTTCTAAAAAAAACTATTATTTTCAATAAATCGAATTACCTAAAAAACTAAAACACTTTATTGAAAATGTTCGATTAATCAAAAATAATCGATTAATTATAACGGATAAATCGATTATTTTTGTAATTCCTATCGGTCGCATGCTTTTATCCGAGCATTTAGCTCCAAAATTTAGAGAATTGGATTTATTGATCCTGTTATCTTTGAAACCGCATTCGATTGTATAATAAATATTGCTAGAATTTAGATTTTTTTAGTAATCGTAGATTTTTTTTCGAGTTGTTTAGGGGTTTATAATGTAACATTTTACTAATAATATGACTAATTTCCGTAACTTTACTGTTTTTTGCTTATACTAGATCATATTGCGCGTTTTACTTCGTTTTAAGACTGAAGATTCAAATGTCACTTCCGATTTAACCGCAAATAAAATGAACCTTGAAATTTTAAGTAGGTGAACCTGTATTTGATCTAATATTCTTGTAAAAATACCTAAGGGCTAAAAACCACCTTTAGTAAATATTCTTATAAAACTACTTATTAAAAACAAAATTTCGTTAGTAACAATGCCTATTTACTTCTTATTTAGATTAAGGGTGAGATTACAGAACGTCTACAACTTTGCAGATCTGCAAATATGGCGGCAACTTTGAAAATCTTGCAAATATGACTGACTTAGACATGCAAGTATCAAGTTTTCGTATTCCAAATTTGGGTTTAGTGTTGTTGGGGGTAATAAAACACAAATATTGCGAATTTGCAGATATTTTTTGGAATACTTGCATTTGTAAGTCCACCATATTTGCAGATCTGCAAAGTTGCAGACGTTCTGTAATCTCACCCTAAATGTTTAAAATTTTACTCTTTTGTAAATTAATGCATTATGAAATCTATTTTCTGAAATATTATGTATTTGATGCTTAATATTTATTGAAACTCCTTACTGCGGATCTGAAGTATTCAGCTCAAAGAATCATGGCCACTTTATGTCAAAACGTCAACAAATATTTACCGCTGAAAACGAATATATTTCTTATTTGTCATAACATTGACACTTATATTATTTGTATATACAATTTTTCACCATACATCGTGGCATTTTCAACTTGAAATTGAATAACTAAAACACTTCAAATTGCTAATAACACCAACAAATAATTCAAAAAACGGCGGTCCATAAATGATTTACTCACGCGGAGACAAGCATAGAATAGAAATTTCGGAGCAATTCGGGTGGCGTCGTGAACAATGATTTTTAATTGGTGGGTTACTTAAGGGCCCCACTCACCTCGTTCTTCTCCGCCGTTTTTAACCGACGGTTAAAAACGTCAGGGTAAAAATGTCACAAAATCGAGGTGTATGGGCAAGAACGTCGTTTATGAACGTCGTTCCAAAATTTCAGGCGAGCCTTGATTTTTGACGGTTATCGAGCCAACCGTTCGAGTAAGAGTAAACACGAGGTGTGTGTTCTCAACAGTTTGACTGGTCGGGCATTTATCAGTAGCAGTAACGTTCAGCATGTTTTTGTTGTTTAATTATTATTATTTAAAACTAGCTATAATAAAAATGTCGAATATTAGGCAGTGGAACAGAGATTTTTATTAGAGTTTATCGAGCTTGGCAGGTTTCGGGTATTATGCGTCCTAGTGCCTGCGGTGAAATAATAACAGAAAACTTTAGATCCTCGTAGCTGAGGCCAGTGGCCAGAAACCGCAGAGTAGCGTTCGTGAGGACTGATGCATTCCCGTAAATGGGTATTATGTCTCTTAATTAACGGTGTTATTAGTTTTAACAGTTTCCGATACGTATCCTGGTCCATCCTCAAGTAATTGTGCCAATCACCAGGCTCCAATCTTAGCTCCTTCAGTAAATTTGTTTGTGACAGTATACTGCGTTTAAGTAGCCAGTCTTTAGTCCATTTTCTTTTTTCGAGATCTTTTTCCACTGCCAAAACCGCTGCCACTGTTAATAGGCACGTACGGTCCATCGTGATAAACTGGCGCGAAAAAAACTGTTGTGTGTGAACATATCAGTCAACGTTTTTCCTTCCAACTTTTTTAACCGTCGGTTTAAAACGGCGAAAAAGAACGAGGTGAGTGGGGCCCTTTAGGGTTGGAATAGACAACGTGCGATGTTACATCTCCGATCTCTTTTATCTAAGATTAAAACTAAACAACTTAATGACATTAGCCTTGTAATGAGCTGGTGTAGACAATTAAATACTGAAGGGCGGTTTGTACAATAGGCAGTTAAAATGTAATCTTAAACTGTGAATCTCGTTGTACAATTATCGGGTTATTGTTAAACAGTATTAAAAATTAAACTCCTGTTAGCTAAACTGAGTTTACAGCATTGTTTGTATAACCCACTCTTTTGTAAAATAGGCAGTTAAACTGTGAACCTCAGAGTATTAAGTCTAGTCCATAACTTTAATCACATATTTAATTTTAGGGGTGGTTATATAGTTAAACCAACCTACTTTGAATTTTGGCAAGGCCAAACTGATAGAATTCATGATAGAATTGTATTCCGAAAACCAGGACCAAATGAACCAGATGGAGTGTTAACTCATAAGGCAGAAGATGGGTGGATGTATGAAAGATTAAATCCTTAATTTTAGAAAAAATTGTAAAAATAAAATTATAGAAGTTTTGTTTCCAATATAGTATTTACATTTTAAAAACAATTCTTATAAATAATATATAAAAATTTACTTTGTACACCTTGAATTTGGTTAGGTAATTATACATTATATAATTTTTAATTAAACTACTAGGTTGTTTCTTTCTACCTTTTTGAAAAGTTAATAAAGGTAGGGTTGTCAGATTTACGAAAGGGAAATTTAACCAGGTCTTTCTGGCGAGCTTCTAAAAAAAGGTCCTCATCAGCTTATATTTTTAAAACCAGGTCCAAAGAACATTTCGTCATCGTAGAGTCAAAACATTGTATCATAAAATTACTAGGTTTTCAGGAAACACAAAACATTTTTTCTGTAATTGTTAATTTTGTAAAAGTAGCTTTTTTATGTAATAGAAAAAGGCAAGTCAGAAAGATACCAAATGGTTAAAAATTTACATATTTAAAATTAACCTAAAAAAAAATTACGTTTAATTACGCCAAAATATGAGTTTTGACTACAAAGATTTTAAGGTTTAAAAAGTCACAAGGACAATTTGTTTGAAAGAAGGACTGTCCTTTTCAAAAAAGAACAGGTGGCAACTCTAGTATTTGTATATAAAACATAATTTTATAAAAAATATAATTTCAATATTTCCCTTCTGACTCCTTCTGTACTTTTCCAACAATTTTTGTATTGAAATATCTTTTTACTATCAATAAAATCCTTAAATAAGTGAACACCTCCTCCTACACCAAAATAAAATGATTTAGCAGCTAATAATCTAAAATCCTAGATAAGGAAAATAACTTTTTATTGCAAAGTATACTATAAAATCAAAATATTTTAGTAACTCTGAAAAATACGAAGTATGAGCTTTACAAAAGAAAAGATTTGTAACTATACTTATAAATTACTTATTGTTATTATTGGAATGATATTGTCTCGGATATTGTTATTATTAGATAGGTATAAAAAAATCGATCAAGCAATCATTCATCTAGTTAGTACATACATTTTACATTAATTTATGTTTGTTCTCAATCTGTGAAATTACATATATTTTCGTTGTTTTTTTTTGCCGAAACAAGTATCTTTATGCTTATCGGCTTTAGCTTTATTTAATTTATAATGTTCTTGTTATGATTGTATACATTCACTATGGTTTGAATAAAGCTTATTTATGATAATCATAAAGGATACACAGCACCATCACTCTTCAACAATTTTTCGAATACTAAATGCAGTTTTGTGTAATAATTTGTATTGTATATTGTTTCTGATGTAATAATATAATCAAATTTGAAATTGGAATATTTTTTTTCAGCTAAATCTACAAAAGAACTCCAGTCACCTGAGAAAAAATTGGATCTAGCTATAAAATTTTCAGAATTGAGCATAACGTTAGGTATTGTAATATGATTAATAACATCTTCATTCTAAAATAAAAACAAGAATTAGTAATTGCAAGTTTTTTCAAATTTCAACTCACATAATCTTGGAACCAACAAGTAGCCCCATTTATTAATAAGTAGATTCCTAAAATACCAGCACCACATCCTAAATCCAACACAAACTTGTCTTTAAAATCGTTTGGCGTTTCTTTAAAATAATTCAGTAAATCATAAGTACATTCCCAAACCTTAAGTCCCCCTAGAATAAAAGAATAAGTTTATTTAATCTGCATAAAGATCATTACAAAATACAGGATGTTTGATTATTAAAAAATACCTTCATAAATAGCAGGCAAGAGATCAGAATGATTCTGTTCTGCTTTAAGTATAGACTCTTCATCTAAATCTTGAGATTTCAGAAAATCTATTACATCATTTGGGCAAAAATATTTTATTTCTACATGATTAGACTGAATAACTTTTATTTTAGCTTCCTTCAATACAGATTGTAAAACAAGTTGTGAATTCTTTGGTAATATTTCTTTACTTTTTAAGAACATTGCTGGCACTGCTTGAACCACTGTGGTTTTATTTAACTGTGTTTCTGCTAAAAAAAGGATGTAATGTTAATTATAAATAAATAGAACACTGATTTATCACTTACATTCATTATTACTCTCATCATCTGGGAGAAAATCAAACTTAAACATTTTTCTTACATAAGCAATAAAGAATAACCAATTAAACATGCATATCTTTTGTGCAGTTATTTATTAACTATGGTCAGCTTAGTCAGTATATGAAACATCCGTAAAACAATTTAGGCATTCCAACGACCTGTCCAAATGGCTACCAGTGGGTAATGACAGTTTAGATATGGCAACCCTGTTGTTATGTTGTCATTAACAGGGTCAATGATACATATATAGTTATATAGATTGCTCAAAGCTGGTCGTTTACGAGCGGCCATATTGCCTGGCAAATATTTATTAATTTGAATCGGTTTAGCAAAAATGCGTTTTAAAACCAATTTTTAGCCTTTAGATATTTAAAAAAAAATAATTGCTTACATTTTTACTTCAAGGCATAAGCTTATGTTTATTTTGAAAAATATGGATGATCAATCTATGTAACTATCTATTTCATTGACCTTGTCAAATCACCAGGCCTACCAGGGTTGCCATAATTTTGCCATATCATAACCCGTCAGAACCCACTGGTAGCCATTCAGTTTGGAATGCCTAATTAGGCATTCCAACGACCTGTCAAACAATAGGTGCCAGTAGGAAATTCTTGTATATTTAAGGGGGTAGCGACATAAGGGAGTTTTAGCAAACAGCCGCTAACCATCCGCTAACGTTACCTTAGGGATAGACTGTAATCTACTCCGTTCAATGTTTACGAAAAATGTCACAATCTTAGTTTAACGTAACGTTAGCGGAAATCTAACGTACATTTGCTAAAACTCTCTAATGTCTTGCAACTTGGACGCTATTTTTATTCGAAGTAGTACTCGCCAAGCCTGCCAATTTATGAAGAAATGTATAGGTGGGTTTTTTAAATATTATTTTTATTGTGTTTGACATAAAATATTTAAATGTAATCCATTATTCATGATTTTACGTAAAGTAGATAGAATACACCATATGTCGCCACCCTTAGATATACCAAACCTGCCCACTGGTAATTCATTTGTTTGGAATGCCTAATTACGTAAAAACATGAATAATGGATTACATTTAAATATTTTATGTCAAACACAATAAAAATTTTATTTAAAAAACCCACCTATACATTTCTTCATAAATTGGCAGGCTTGGCGAGTACTACTTCGAATAAAAGTTGCAAGACTATGTCGCTACCCCCTAATTAGGCATTCCAAACAAATGAATTACCAGTGGGCAGGTTTGGTATATCTAAGGGTGGCGACATATGGTGTATTCTATCTACTTTACGTAAAAACATGAATAATGGATTACATTTAAATATTTTATGTCAAACACAATAAAAATTTTATTTAAAAAACCCACCTATACATTTCTTCATAAATTGGCAGGCTTGGCGAGTACTACTTCGAATAAAACTTGCAAGACTATGTCGCTACCCCCTTAAATATACAAGAATTTCCCACTGGCACCTATTGTTTGACAGGTCGTTGGAATGCCTAAATATGCTGCGTTTGAGAATCCACATCGGATGCATTTTTTACATCTCGAGCGTTTTTTTATCCACATCGGACACGTCTGTCCCATTACATTTACGTATACTGCATCACGTGATCAAAGATTTTTTACATCTCAGATGCATCCGATGTGGATTCTCAAACGCAGCATTTATAAATATAAATTAGAAAACTAGGACATGTAACAAGACAAGTGACATGTGACGGCGTGACCACAGAACAATAGGTCTTTTCCTTTGCATCGAAAGTGTAGCACTGGGCTACACCAATTCTGAAAATATCGTTCCATATATACAAATTGTATGGATGGAGCGATATTTTCAGAAGTGACGTAACTCAGACGAGTGTCTCGCGCCACATCCGCCGTGTGTTCCGTATATCACCGAATATTACCGGTGTGGTTAAAGCGGTTACTAGCGTTTTCAGGACGGTTTCTTTTTTTATTTTGATAAGTGAAATATTTACGGAACGTTTGTTGTAAATGTCAAATATCTCATGTCAAATCAATGCATTTTTTGTTGGATGTTGATGTTTGGATGGCTTTTATATTTATAAACTCAAACTAGATATTAGTTTTTGATGTTTTTACGTTTGTTAAAATATTCCTTCTTCCAAAATTAAAAAAGTCCAAAACAAATTTAACTGATATGACACATGATTATCACAAATGTCAACGTCAACCATAACAACCGATGAAAAAGTTTGGTCACTTTGGTGACAGCTGGTACTAACCGCATTTCAGGAACATTGTCCCGTAAATCTACAATTTTCAGGAATTTGACATTTACGGAACGCGATTTTACTAACCGGGTTAACCAAGGTGATATACGGAACAGCAGGCCACGGCGCACTATAAAGGTGTTTCAACTCCCTGAAAAAAACATACCAAAACCGGTCGTACTTAGGGCAAAAATCCGCTAGGTTCGCTAGTGTCGTTACGGCGGAAAATTGCGGCAATCTTTTTATCTGTCAGAAAAAGTGCAATCATAAAAATAGTTGGTGATGGTGAAAATTCGAGTTTATATGATATGAAAAATGACAAAACTATCAGAAGAAGTACAGATGAAAAAATTAATGGTCAACAAATAAGTTTATTGTTATTGATGGTTGCTTATAAGTGTTTTTTTTTTAAACAAGCTACACTGATGTGTGCGTTTATAGGATCAAAAAAAGTGTTCAAAATTTAATAAATATGCTCCAATTAAGTTACAAGTTGCTGCCAGAGACTTGCTACTAAATAAGTGAAATGGGGGTGTTTATAAAAAACAGCTGATTTTGTTTTGTGTTCAAATATTACCTTTGTTTTGGCAAAAACAGCAATACAGTGGGTTACAGATTATAAAATGAAGAAGTGGACCTTAACTATGGTACTCAGATTGAAGCTTATTATTTTTAAAGTGAGTTTTGTGGTTTTCATTGCCCAGATTAAAGATATTCAATAAACATTTAGTTTTATACCTACTATAATCAAATCCATACATAGTGATTGGAATTACAAACATTTCTGTGAAATAGCATTATACCAGAATAATGAAGTCTCACTGGACTGGAGTATATATGTTTCCAAAGATCAGTAAGTACCTATATCAATTATTATTATTTTTATTAATAAGTATCAGTAATAAATACATCTCAAAGAATAACAAGGTTGTAACTGTACTTTTTGGAAAAAATGAGATTTATTAGAATATATTAATTAATTTGTTTTTGTGACCAATATGTTCATCTGTTAATTATCAATGTTGTGTTATCGAAGCACTAAAGTTATTCACATGGTTCTATCTGCATGTACATAGAACTTATACAGTTTTTAGCAAGTGTCATTATAGTAGTTAGATCTTTGTTATTCCCTAATCCCTAGCAAATGTAGTCTCCATCCTCCACAATTATATTAAGATTAAAGACCAGGTTTTTACCTCTTAATAAAGTTGAAAGTAACTACTTGCTGATTAGGCTATAGATTATACTTATGCGTAACTTTACTCAGAGGTTAAAAAATCTGCCATTAAAAGAACAGTGAGTTTTAGAGCATAAACCGTATTAAATATAATGGGTATTTTTTTATTAAACTTTTTGTTTTTAAACAGTTTTGATTGAAAATTATAAAAAAAATTATAGAGGATACCTAGAAAGATGTATAATATAAAACAACATTTAAAAATTCTGAATTAACAAAAGTATGTATTTTCTGTTCCAAGCCTTGTCTCTGTTACCTAAACTAAATACTAGAAACACAGTTTTAACTGGCAGTTACTACTATGCTTTATCAAATATTCTAAAAAATGTAGGTCGCTTAGTTCTTTCTGCATTTTTATCACTTAAGATTTTCTCTTAAATTAGAGTTAGAAACACAATGAAAATCAAACAAGTTAATGGCTATACAAACTTCAACTCCAAAAAATAACTAGCTGTCTAGATACAATCTTGTTATCCTAATATGACAGATGTAGAAGATTTATACAAATGTGAAAAACGTTTTATGTTCTGCAATGCTAGATGAAATCTTTAATTAGGCATCAAATTTTTAAAATGTTAGAGATAGTATGTAGGTATATAGGGAAAATAAAAAATATAATTATAATGAAGAGTAAGAACTTTTAAATTTTAATATAACTAGAACAAAATATTCAGTAATTAAAAATTTTGATAGGAATTAAAAATTTGCTCGAGTATAAATGTTGTGCTTGTTTTTAAGTGGTTTCGATTTACTTTAGGTTTGTTCCAACAATGCTCAGAAATGAGTTACTGACATCAGGATTCTACACAGTAGTTTATTGAGACTGCAAAATTGTGTACTACCCAGTGGTTTGTTTCTGATCGTTGGAACAGACCTTTTATTCAATAAATAATCGAACAAGTTAAATGTGTATTTGGAATTTTTTTAATTTTACAAATCTGGAGCTTGAATATGGATTTTCAAATGATGCACTTTTTGTAGTTTTTAATAATGCTTATTTTTTTTTTAGTTTCTTGTTCATTTAATAAAGATGCTTTTTTGTATATGGGGTGATAATTTTTAAGCAGAGGCGTGCAGCACCCACAAGATCACTGCCAGAATTAATTCAAATGGGTAATCTAAAAATATGGAGTAGGTTCCCTGCACAATATTTTCAAGAACTTGTAAATACAATGTTTTAATGAATTATTGCCGTTATCAAAGTTAAAGGTGATGAAACACTCATGAAAATTTGTAAATATTTAACCCTTTCAGTGTATTTGTCCCTCCAGAGGGACACTCTTAATTAACCCTGAAGTATAAATCTGTTAATTTTGGTAGAATTTTTTTCTTTTTGGTTTATTTACTTTATTTGCATTACTTTTAAGGATTAATATTATAAAAAATTATTTTCATAGTAAATTTTTGTTTTTGTAATGTCCCTGAACAGGGACGTTATGTCTTGGAGTAATAAAAAATACTATGAAAATATTTTAATTTACTTAAAATAAACAAAGAAAACATACAATCTACTACAATGGTATTTTTTTTAATGAAAGTGGAAGTGAAAGGGTTAAAAAAATAAAAGAATTTATCAGATTTATGTATGATTTGTTCTTGTAGTGACAGTC